TTTTATACCCTCTTTTGTATAACAAACATTTGTCATACTTAGCACTGAGACACAGGCTGAAAAAAAAATAAGCCTGAAGATCACAGTCTCAAGGGACTAGGTGAGAATCAGAACTCTATAGCTTCCTTTATGCCAAAAAAAAAAAAAAAAAAAGTCACATGATTTTATTGAGATTCTTTTCTTCTGGGTTTGGTTCTCATGACTCTGCTTTCCAGCAATCCCTGGACCATGAGCCCTGGGCTGCAGCCAATTCCGTTCCTCAGTGCTGATGCTATCAGGCTCTCAGGAGCACCAACAACTGCTCACAGGGACAAAGACACCCACAATCAGAGACTCTCATCACCCACCAGGCTCTTACCACTCCAAATGACAGCTCTTTGGAACATCAAACTTACATGATCTCATTGAGTGTTTGCCGATAAGAGGGAGAATAACACTTTCTGAATAATTGGGAACACAAGAATATTGCAAAGCAGACATTTAAAGGAAACAATGGAATTAGAAACTTTTGAGCAAGTCATTATAACTTTCTGGCTTCAATTTCTTCACTTGTAAAGAGGGGTAGAATTCTGCCTTTCTCCAATAGGATAACACATGCGAAATGTTATATGTGAACGTTACATGTAAATGTGTAAGTGTTATAGGGCTATATATATGGAAAGAGTAACATTTATTAATTTCCAGATACCATGTATAATAAAACAATTACTTGGACAGGATAAAGCTCCATTGACTCAGCTCCATGAAAATAAGAACTGTGTCTTTCTAATCTCTGTCAAGTTCTATCTCTGGAATGCAGTAGGTGCTCAATAAATATTTGTTGAATAAATGGATCAAGCCAAGCTGAGTTGCCACAAGGGTCAGTTTAGGGGCTAGAGGCTCACACTATTCCACCCCCTGGCTAGGAATTTCAGCCATTATCTCCCTCTCTTTCTTTCTCCTCATCCTCCCCAGTGTCTCTGTTCCCCAAGCCATCCTCACAGACAGCTGCATGTTCTGTGTAGGAGTCATCCATGTGCTGTGGGGCTGCACGGGGGCACCTGGGGGCTTTCCTGCGAAAAGGACAGCAGTGCAGGCCCCACTCCCTGCAGCTGCAGGATGCCTGGGCTGCCCAGACATAGGCCCCCACAGGCACCGAGAGCAGCACAGCACACAGGACCACCGTGATGTGCAGAAGGCGCTCCCTTTCATCCAGCCCGCCACGGTCTCTACCTGTCACAAAGACCACGCACTGGCCCTGGCGTGGTGGCTGGGCTCCTAGGCTGAGACATGCTTCATATTTTGTGCCCGGGAGGAGGTCATCCACAACATATGTGTTGATTCCAGGGCCCATATGGACCACCTCCTTCTTGAGGGCTACATCTGATGCAACGTAGAGGGTGAACCACTTTTCCTCAGAGGTGTCGGCCACCACAAACCACTCCAGCAGGATCCCTCGCACTGTCTGCTTGACAACTCGCAGGGCAACATAGGCATTGCCCTCCGAGGGGGAAGAAGGAGAATGGGGTGCAGGTAGGGCCAGGGCAGGCTGGACATGAAGGGAGATGACCATGGCGCTCCTGCCGATGGAGTTGGAAGCCACACAGGTGTAATTGCCCCTGTCTACTAGGTGGGCAGCAGGTATGACCAGCTCCGACAAAACAGCATCTTCTGCAGCAGATGAGGTCAACACTGGATGGAGAGAGAGCAAAATCATTTTGCACATCTCTGATAGACATCTGGAGGGTCCAGCAATGCCAATTTTTGGTTAAAAGATGGTGGTTACTATTTATTAAGTATATACTTAATTATCAGGTGTTTGCCTCTCAGCAACCCTATAAGGTAAATACCCAAGTTTTACACATAGGAAGTTGAGGATTGGCATGATTAAGCGACTTGCTGATAATGAGTGTTGTTTAGAGGCAGCAATTTATCTGGAACATTGTTCTGTCTATGAAGTTCTTTAACTGCATTAGTTGATCTCACCAAACTACCTTACTCTTGTTGAGTTAACACCATGGTTTCCAGGAAATCGCCTGCAATTGTGATATTGTGAGCTTCAAGAAGTGCCCCCTTACCCTAAGATGTGAAATAGCTTCAAGCTTGGTGCCAAATACCTGGATTCTATCCCATACTAGGTATATGGTCTTGGACAAGTTGCTTAGAATCCCTTGGTCTCAATTTCCTCATTAATAAAATGGGATAATAGTGTATTCACTCCATAAGTTTGATAGTAAGTGCTCCATAAATGTTAGCTGTTATCATTACTGAAAGAATAAATATAACATGGTGCCAAGGAGACTGATTATAGAGCATCACAAAAGATAATATCCAGATGCATTTCACTGTTCTCAAAGAAGCTACAATGATAAATCCTATATTTCTCTTTCATTAGTATTTAACCTCAAACCAATAATATGTGGTCAAAATGATAGGAAAAAGTCAAAATTTCAGTTAATTCAGTATTTTTTTAATAACCCAGAAGTTTGTCATCATATATAATAAATATCTGAACAACTGACTGTATTTCTCAAATTTTACTCAGATATTCCTAGTTGTCTTGTAGACAGCTTCAAGATACCCCTTAGGAGGCCATCCCTGGCTTTGTGATATGTCCCAACCCCCAGAGTGGCATTAAAGGTGATTTTAGCTGAGGTGAAAAAGAAGAGCAAGCACAGAGCTTCAGGAAATAAGAGGCAGGTTTAAATCCCTGTTGTGGGGCCCACAGGCCTACATCTCCCTGGGTCCCAGTATTACAACTTCGAGCAATAAGTTCTGATCAACAAAGTGGTGGGAAGTGTAAAATTCAGTCAGTATCTAGAATTTCTCAACCTTTCCTGATAGTAAGAAAATAGCTGGGGGGTAAGGGATGGGGGATAGGGGATAGGGGATGGGGAAAGACTTATTATAATACATATTCTCAGGCCCTCCCCTGGACTCCCTGAATCCAAATCTCCAGGGCAGGGGCCTTGAAATTTTATTTTAAACACTTGCCCCAGGTGAGTTTGTTCGGGCAAGTTTAAGAAATATGTAATAATCTCTAGAATTGGTTCTAGTCAGAAATTCATGATTAAAAAATACATATTATAGTGTTTTACGTCTAGAAGGCCATCGAAAATATATTTGTTCAAATACGTTGTCTAATATTTATACAATATGTCAAGTCAACTCCAAGAGATATGTGTGGCAACCATTTAAAATAAGGCTGATAGTGAAACACTATCTTGGAATCTTTTCTGTGGTGATGAGTATAACTCAGGCCTATCCCAGTTCTACCTGCACCCTTCCTTTATGATCGACCCAGTTTAGAACTTCTCTATTGAGGGTAAGCCGCTACAACCTCCACATTCTTCCAGATAGTTTAAGAAGGTGCATGTGGCTTACCATTAAATTCCCTCCACGTGCTCATGGGATATGTCCATGCAATGGTTGGTGAGGGGCTGGCCTGTGCCAGGCATCGCAGGGTTATGTTCTGTCCTACCTGGATGGTGACATTGGCACTGGGGGTTAAGATCTGAGGCTTCATGCAAGCACTGAGCTCAGTTTCATAAAAAAACTGCCCTGCCTTGGAGAGAGGGTCTCGGCACATTAGATAGGGATTCACTAGGATGACTGGGAAGCTGATGAACTTTACAAACTCGACAAGTCCCCTTAAGCGACAGTCACATAGCCAGGGGTTGTTGTGCAGCGCCAGCACCATGCTGGAGAGAATTTTGGACCCACAGCCAGGCTGCTGATGTTTCTGATAGGCCGGCCAGTTCAAGAAGACATTCTTAGATACAACTGTAAGCCTATTGGAGGATAGGTCAAGGTAGCTCAGATTGACCAAGAACTGAAAAGCCAGCTCCGGAAGTACATCAATCCTGTTGTGTTTGAGATCCAAGACCCTCAGGAGTGGGGTGGCACGAAACGCTGTCCACGATATTGAATGGAGTTTGTTCCCTACCAGTCTCAGCTCTTTCAGTTTGGACAGGTACTCCAGGGCTCCTAGGTGGATCACAGTGACATTGTTAAAATTGAGCCAAAGGTATTCCAAAGTGCTCATGTTGGTGAAAGACCCTCGGGACAATTCAAATAAGGACGAACGTTCAATTCTCACTTGCTTGAACTCTTCAGGAAGATTCCTTGGGATCTTTCCCAAAGGGATAGACATGCACTGCAGAGTCCTGTACAAAAAAAAACAAAAAACAAAAAACTTTAAGGTAAACATCAGGAAACTGGGAAGTAGAATCAGACTTATCCTAGCATTAGACATATAAATTAGAAAAAAAAAAGTGTTATTCACTTGAAATAAGAAAAGTTAGACCCATTTGGGTAAAAGTGCACAGTTCACCAAATTTCAGCACCAACTAGAATGAGTCTCATAGAAATTGTGCTGATTTCCTGAAAATTCTAGGCTTGCTCCTACTCCAAATCATTCCCAAAGAAAGCCCATTCCCTACAACCCTCTGGCATCTTGCCAGCACAGCGCACCTGCCAAAACTCTCCTCTGAGCAGGTACACCCTGGCAGACAGGATAGCTGAGCTGCATGTGAATCCAAAAAGACCAGAACTAGCAGGAAATAGTGAGAAACTGAAGCCATATTCCTCTGTAAGAAACTACCTTGGGAATTTTGAATAAGTATAGTCCTAGCTTCTGAGTGGCAAATCCTATTATTGGTAATCCATGGTGATGTAGGTCAGCACAGGAGTAGAAAAGCCCCTGGATGCTCTGAGGTTTGTTATAGTGCAGATCACCAGCTCAGTGAGAACCCATGAAAAGGGGCTATGTCTCTTAACTAAGGTCAGAAAATCCACCCTTTATCTGGCTTTTGAGTTCAGAAAGCAAACTCTAAGTTAGATGTCAATTCGGTCCTGATACTGCCTTCCCTCAGTTTCTCACAAAAAGATCTGAGAAACGAGTAAGTAATACTATTCTGAGCAACATGGTTCAGATGACTTGGCCAAAATCCATTTAGTGCTTCATTGATCACAATTGCTCTTGAAACCTAGAATTTCCAACCGTTCTCTAAAAGTGAATGCAGATGGTGCGTAACAAGTAATTCTGTGGCCACGTCTATGAATGGTTATCTCCCCAACACCTCATGTGGAAGAGTCATGCCTCTACTGGATTAAGGCGGTTGCCTCTGCCACTTGGATGACCAGAGTCAGAGGAGCATCATGGTGCAGAGGTTAAATCACAAGACTGTGTTTTCTGATTAAACCAAAACATGTTTCTTATCCCAGATCTCACAACTTTTCCTGAATGCTGTGTATTTCACATGGTAAAAATGAAAGGCCTGTATTTTAAAGTGACATATATGATTTTTGGATACTTACTTTGCCACCCTTAATTCACTCAACAAATATTTATTGATCATCTGCTCTAAGTCACACACTTACTAGGTGCATGAAATGCAGTGAACAAAACTGTTATAACCCTGTCCTACGGGGTCTTCTCTCTAGCTTATGCTTCTCAGTCTTGAGATCTTTGGAAAATCATTTAACCCCTATGAATATCAACTTTTCCTCTGCAAAGTGAGAAAATTAATGAATACTTGGTAGAGTTTCTAGATAATTTTGAGATTATGTAAAATGAAGTACCTAACATATAGTATGTGTCCAATAAATTTTAATTCACCTCCCACATCAACAGAATCTTGAAGACAGAAAAGTCTACTTCTATTATTTGGGGTATTTCCTGATGAATATTGAAACTCCCTAGTTTCCCCTAAGATCATGAGATACATTATTCTCTACAAAAGGCCTCAGGGAAGAAAATCCGCTTAGTAGCTAACCAGTGTGGGAGAAATGGGTCACCAACTAAGCTGATTACTCTCCAGGCTTTCCATCCAAGCCAGATGTATTTGCTGGAGTTTCCAGATAGTCTAATTCCACAATCTGGCTAGATCTCTAGAGTTCCTCTCAAGGTAAAAATCTAAACAAAGAGAGTTCTGTGGGCACAAAACTTGTGGTAGACATGATGTGTTGCCTATACCCCCTTCAAGAAATGGATTAATGTTCACCTGCAAGGTGTGCTTGTGTGAGGACATGCCCTTCCTAAGGCAGCCCACATGCAATGACTGAGGGTGATGAGGACACAAGGGCTCTGCTAGTTTAGCCTGATGGGGATAATACTGATGGGTGATACTCACTGCAGACTCCCCCACCAGGTCACCAAGATTTTGTCAGGTTTACTTTCATAGAAAATGTAATTTAATCCAAGGGATATCACAAACCACTAGTGAACTCTATTCTCACTCCCAAAATATATGGGCCTAAAGAGCTCTCCATTTCCTACAATTTCTTCTCTGTTCATCCCATGTTAGTCTCTTCAAATAAATTTATCTCAAACCAAATTTCCAGTGGCTTGCTGAAATCTGAGAATGCTCACTGACATATCATCTCTGAAATCACTCACATCACTTCTGCACTGCTCCTCCTCTCCTGATATCCTCATCCTCTGGTTTCCTTATTTGGCATATGGGCATAGGGAGTAGTTATGTTGTCAATTAAGGCAGGAGATTAAGACAATTAAAGTTAGTCAGGTTGTGTTAGTTTTCTTAAATAACTGGTGGTTAAGTGGCATCTCTAAACTCAAGAGATTTTAACGACAAAGGGAAGGGGCCTGAGTATATTATACCCCCATCACTCTTCCTGCAGGATATTTTTAGAAATTTGGCCCTTAGAGTGGTAGAGAAAGAGTCATAGGAGAGAATTTACTCTGAGTTTATGAAATAATTAGATATAAATGGCTCTGGGCAACATCTCCCTGGCTTGTTTTAATAAGATGTTAACAAGAAAGTTTCTTGTCTATTTAATTGGTAGAACTTTGAGATAGCTCAGACAGATAACTTGGTGACCTATCAGGAAGCAGACACACTGTTCTTCCTCTTTCTAAAGCTGGTGCTTGTCCCTCACACCTCTGCTGCCAATCTTGTCTGTGACGGTCTCCTGAGTACCCATGCTCTGTGGCATGCCTGTGATGGACACACAGAAGACTACATTCCCAACCTCCTTGAAATAAGTGGGCTATATGACTAATATTCTGGCTAATATAATGTTTTAAAAGCCCCTGCATGATTCTCCAGTTTCTCTTTCCCCTTGTTGCAGCAACTATTGACATTCCAGGTGGTAGAGTCTTCATCTGCCTGGGTCCTTGAATCAATAAGTGGAGCAGAGCTCTCCCTTCCTCCATCCACATTTCCTACTGACTAAAGTAGACTCTGTGAGAGTGGTAACAAATTTTTCTTTGTTAAACCACTGAAATTTTGGAATTGTTAGCACAGCATAAAATGCCCTTTCGATCAAATAAAATATGGTCAAGTACTTGTAAGTTGACTTTTGGCTCTACTGGTTTATGTGATAGTTAAAATAAAAATTCCCATCTCTAGTCCTCTAAACACACAGCTCACTGAGTCCCTTAATTGATAACCTAGTTTTAATAGCCACATTCACTTTCCAGGATATAATTTCTAGTAGTATTTGCCTTTTTATACCCTTCAACTTAGACATCCAACTACAGATAAGTGACCTCATGCATAGCTTCTGCTTAGGTCAAGAGGAGTATAACCATGTAGCAGAAAAAACATGATGGAGAAGCCACAATTCCAACCACCCCCCAAACAAGACTTCCAAAGGCAGCATGCTATGGGATCACCATCGTGCAGGAAGGTCTTCAGCATTGGAAGACCAGAATTTCTTTTCCCAGGATTCTAAGAAGACATTAGATTTTCAGAGACTGACTCATACCAACCAGACTCATATAGCAAAAGACTAATATATAAACTAGATACCATTTTATTTTTCGCAATGGGAATTCGTTTTTTCCGACTTGAATATTCATGAGCACAATCCAGCCTGATTCTTCTCTATAAGAGCAAACCAAAGACTTGTCACACAAAAGAAAGATAACAGATGAATATTGGAAGGCTGACTGTCTTGGGGGCCATTACATCTAGATGACCAAGGTAGGTCTTGATGAATCATTGCAAAGTTCGAATCTCTTTTCTCTCTCTCTCTCTCTCTCTCTCACACACACACACACACACACACACACACACACACACACACACACAACTGGATAAACTGACAAGTTTTTTTGTT